AAAATTCCAACCTTTTTTTACATGAGTTTCATTCATGTAACAAAGGAAAGGGCTTTGATCACACAGTCATGCCTGCCATCTTTCATTTTTCTGATGCCTACCTTTTGTTTCCCTTGACCCCTGTCATTGGATTTGGGGGAAATCAGAATTTTCAAGAAAAAAAAAGAAAAGGACCCCAAAAGCTGGATATTTTGACCCTATCCACTTAGTGGGTGTTTAGGGTCCATCATGTTGTATTTGGGGAAAATTAGCAAGGACATGTCCTAAAATGAACAGTCAAAAGTCGATTCCTATTTCATTGCTGGGGTGCAATGGAGACAAACAGCGTAACTGCGGTTGGAAAGTGTTTCTTTAACTGCCAAATCTTTCCACTAAATCTTAATTCTTATGCATGAAATATTGCCAGTATAACTCAACCCACGCTCAAATGCCTCTCAGTAATGAAATGGACTTTGGTCAGAATCTCTCTTAACTTCCCACAGTTATTGTAAGGATAATACAGATGAGGGAGAGAAATGATCTCATCCCACACAGATACCGCACAGGTACAGCACACGGAAGAGTTGTATGGGATATAAACGTGGTAAGTAAAACTGAATGCAAAATAACTAGACCAGTTAATGAAATGAAAGAATATTGAGGCTATGGTAAGCATCTGAGAAGCTTCAGATTCAAACCCTGAAGGATGTAATGGGAAAATACCTTATCCACACCATTTTGGCCTTCCAGAAGGCCATCAAGACCTGGCTCTTTACCCAGAGGTGGATAAAGTGATGGGAGTACAGTGATGGGAGCTTATGGATGATAGTTGGGGGCATCTAAGGAGGAAGGTTGAGGCACTGAGTTCTTGGTTTTAGTTTTTGCATTTATGGTTTTTATGGTTTCTAGTTTTATTGCTGTTATGAGCTCCCCAGAGTTGTGCTCTAAGATGGGCAGCCATACAAATCTTTTAAATAAATAAATAAATCTTAAGAGAGATTCTCCCATGTAACCTCCATCTGCATAACCACCCTGTCTTCCCCTCCCTCTTTAAAATTCAAAACCTTGGGCAAACCCTTCCATGAATCTAATGAACTGAGCTTCAGCTCACAAAAGCTTATAACTTTTAATAAAATGTGTTAGTCCAAAATGGGGCTACCAGACTCCTTCTGGTTTTTGGCTACTGTAAACTAATATGGCTCTCCTTCTACAATATCTTAAAAGATAATTCACTGAAGTGCCTGTGTAAACTGCCCATGTGATTTGTAAAACTCTATTCTGCCAAGCACACATGTCCAATAGTATGAAAGAACAAGATCTGAGTTTCATGGTTTCAAAAGAGCCCTGGTAATAGAAAAACCAGAATTTGTTTGTAAAGCAGCTTTCCATTTATAAGACAGAAAGATGTATAAAAGTCATTCATTGAGACCACTTTAACCTTTCAGCACTTGGCAAAATACATTATTCATGGAGTACTGGTATTGTTTAAGTGTTTTAGTTAAAAAGAATAAGTTGTATTCAACACATTTCTATTTAACGTAAAAGAAGTCTTCCATATTACAACTAGCATCAGAATATAATATACTGTTCTGTACTAGAAACCTTACTAATATGGAATTATTAGAGAATTCTATACAAGAATTAGTTGTATCTTCTGCAACCAGTGGCTTCAGCAGGCAAGTTAATAACCCACCACTGTGAATTATTGCTGTCTAAAATGTCAGATTTGCTGTAACTCTTACTATTTTCACATTTATTTTTAACAAAATAATTATGGATTCAGGGGCTTCCACTGGATGAACTAAACCTCCATTCAACCTTAATCTTATTGAAGTTCCTGTCTAGAAACATTTTTCTTGGCTATTTCTAGACAACAGCATGAAGGGTTGTGCTTATAAGACTGAGGCATTAATGTCACATAAAACTCTGCTCTCTATTTTGAGATTCTAAAGGAGGCATGGAAACATTCTGACCTGGAGACCACAAACTCCTTAAGGAATCTTCCAAAAAGGTATCCACAGGGAAGGACAAAAAAGTAACAATGGAGGTTGCAACTGAATGACTGAAACACCATTCCTTTTTTGGGTGTGTAAAAACCACCCATGAGGGGATTCAACCACCCATTCTAATAGCCGTCTTTAATTTTTTTACCACCACCACGCACTCTGCAGATATCCCTGATCCCAAACAACTGTGGCTTTCTGTCCATCTTTTTTTCCCTTTTCCATCACAATTGGATCAATAAAATATTATCTAGAGAAAAAAAAAAGTGGGTTGCAAAAAGTCTTATGCCTCCAAACCTATTCTCTCCTTGTGTCTTCCCCCACTTGTTTTGTGTCAAATGTCTTCTTTACAAGGACTCAAATCGACGTAATTGCTTATCATCTGGATTTTGTTGCTATGGAAGTATTCATTATCTTAAACAGGCAAGACATATAGGGAAGCCTTGATTTCATTTCATATAATATGAGCTTTTTAATCTTGCCATTTCCATTAGATACTGACGCAGCACTCTAATTTACAGCAAATGTTCACCCACTGATCAAGCGAGGCTAAGGACTTGAAATAACTTCTTAGGAAGGAAGCGAATCTCGCGCTCCAAGTAAAGTAATACCTCTTTGCGACAAACAATTATAGCAGCACAGAACCAGACTATTGCACCTCCAGGAAAAATTACAGTTTTTGTAGCACATTGGAAAAAACAGAAGTACATAATTTGTTTTTAGCCCTAAGGTAACCCTAGGGCTAAAAGCAACTTAGGTAATTTGCAAAAATAGAAAATGATCTGAGGGGCACAGATGAGCTGAATCACTGAAGCATCGTAGGATTTTTCCCTTTGTCTTTTTCTCACAGTCTCGTAAGTGCAATAAACAGTTTGAAACAATAGGAATGGGAAAAGGAGAGAGTGCTGGTCGCTCCCCGCCCAAGGCCTGCATAAAGGTAATCAGCAGGTTTATCTGGACAATGTATTGCAGGGATGTGTAACTTGGAGGAGACTGAGAGCCACACCTGTCCTTTAAGTGACATGTTGGCGCCAAGCTCCAAAAAACAGGAGAAACCAGAAGAAAAACAGAATTTGATTTGGTATGATGTAATGTGATTGTTTCCCATATTATTATGCACCAGTGGCAATCTGTGCAGGAGCTCTGGAGTTGAACCCAAGGATTTTAGAGAACCTCATGTGGCCATGAGGTCTCAGGTTACGAACCCCAATCTGCTGCCTAGTGATCTAGATTGCTGGATTTCTTCCAGGAGATTGGAAAGGGTTTTTTTTGCTTACAGATGTTTAAACAATAACAAAAAAGGCTTTTTGCTTTTTGAAATGTCTAATTCATAACTCATGTAAAAGGTTGTACTTATATATCCAGCGTGTTCTAGCAGTCTTCTCCTACCTTGTGCCCACTCAAATGTATTGCACTACAGTGTCCATCATCCACAAGCAGGACCTCTAATTACCAGTTGGCTGAGATCAGTAGACACTGAAATACATTATCTGGACCCACTTCAATTGGGTTTCAGATTGTGGGTTTCCTCTGGCAGGCTCAGAATGGGGGTGATATATCCCTTCTACCCCTCCTTGATCTCTCAGACATTGTGCAAATTATGTCACTGGTATCAATTTACATCATTTGCATAACAATGCATCAGTATACAAATGATGCAAATTGACACAAAGGTGTAAATCACGACAGAGTTTGTAAAATTACGGTAAAATTCATTTTCAACATCTTCACTGGACTCATTCAGGTGCAAC